CGGCAACGGCGCCCCCTCCCCCGCCGTCAAGTTCCCCGGCGCCTACGACGGCACCGAGCCCGGCATCCACATCGGCATCTACTACCCCGCCCCCACCGAGTACAAGATGTTCGGCCCCGCCACCTGGCCCAACGCCTGCTCCGACCACACTGCCAACCTCGACGGCCAGGAGTCCGACGGTGACTGCACTGGCGACGATGGCGCCGCTGCCCCCGCTCCTGCTCCTGCTCCCGTCCCCGTTCCTTCTCCTGCTCCTCCTGCTGGCGGCAACGCCACCGTGCCCGTGCCTCCTCCCGCCGCCGGTGGCGACGACGAGCCCACGGCGCCCGAGGAGACCGTTCTCCCTGCCCCGGTCGAGACCGAGTACCCCTCCGAGCCCGAGTACCCCGTCCCCGCGCCCACGGAGCCCGTGTCTCCCCCTTCGGCCACGGAGCCCGTCACCGCCCCGCCCGCCGATGGCGAGGAGGACACCGGCTGCCCTGCCACCCGCCGCCGCCGCGCCCTGCGCAAGGCTCGCAAGGCCCGTCTCGCGCGCCGCCAGGCTCGCTTTGCGTACACTGTCTAAGTTGCGTAGAGACGGTGGTGCCTGTGTCTGATGCCCCGCAAAGGCGAGACAGCATAGGACAGGCGAAGAAAGCGCACAACTTCTTTGTATGAATTAGAGACCTTCAACTTTTACATGTTTCACGTTGGTGTATATAGCTATATCTTTTTTTGAGAGGCACTGGATGGGCCTTGGTACAAATACATATGGGGCTTGACCCCGTTCATGATACTTATGCAGCATGCCTTTGCAATGTGATGGATGAGTGTGACATGGGCTTGTAAGTCGTTGTACGTCTCGCATGTACGGACGAGTGACGGCAGAGCTCGCGATGTTGTAGAGCTGAGATCGAAGATCGCCTACATCGAGTGATCTTGACCGCCACATCCTGTTGATATCGGACTGTTGTGCTGGGGGTCCGCTTGCAGTGGCCACGAGTCATTTCGAAAGTTAAACATCATGCGGGAAATATCTCCTAAATGACTGCCACATGGCCTTTGGGATGAGTGACCCCGCTGTAGTTCACTGCATTTTACCTGGGTGGGATTTCTGCCTGGTGGGCACTGGTTCCGTGGGAAGTGCCCGAGTCGACAGGACGTCTTCATCCGTGATGATGCCTTTCGCTACAGCAACAAACCGAGAAAATAGCTGAGACCAGTACGGAACTGATATTCGCTTTGTACACGACAGCATTTCGGGTTTCGTGCCGCTCTTTGAGGTGCTGTTGCCATCTGAGGGTCGTGGGGAGCCGTTTTATCACAGTCCACGAGCGAGTCTACTACATAATACACGCAGGTTGCCGGCCAGGACAACCATCCTCCCGTGGCGCAATGGTAGCGCAGTGGATTTCTGATCCGAAGGCTGTGGGTTCGAGTCCCACCGGGAGGTCTTTCAACTTGAAAGAATCCTTTTTGCCTCTTTTCTTAACTTTCCAATTGTCGTTTCGGGGTGCGCGTCGCCAGCGTGCGACTGACCGACGTGTGCCGATGACATGGCCAGGACGGCACTGGTCGTGAGTCTACTCTCGTTGCTCGTACGGCCCCGTTTGCATCGGCTGCATCTCCTCCATGACGGCGCCATACCAAGCATTCAGTGCCTCGTCCATGTCCATGATGCCCCCGTCGAAGAACCCCGTAACCTGGTTCAAGTATGTCTCCATTCCTTTGTCCTCAGCGAACAGCAGGCTCGAGCCGCCGTCGTAGCCCATGCTGCCTACAGACATGGAGTCGAGGGATTCGGGCCCCATGAATGACTCCTGGGGTGTGATTGCTGTGCGTGGCGGGGCCATCGATTCGGCGTAGACCTTGTTCCTCACAGCTTGGAGCAGGTCTTTGTACTTGTTGAGGCCTGTGAGTTTGAGTTGCGGAATGCCGCGCTCTAGCAAGTCAAGGCAGGCCGCTGTGTCGTTCCAGTGGCGATGTCTGCGGGTGGAAGTCGTTGGTCCAGCTTCTCTTGCCATAGCCATGGCCTGCCTGGGAGTACGAGGACTGTTGTCAGCTCTTTGTCTTTGCGCCGTGAGCATCATCTCGAAGTATCATGAGTACCTACCAATCACAGTAGAGCGCGGCCAGGCCTGCCAGGAGAATGGCATGGAGCTGTCTGAAGCAGCGGCAGACAGCCGAGATGCCATACCGAGCCTCAATCTTGGACCACTGGTGAATGGCGCTCGCTGCAGCCTTGGAACAGGTGGCGATCATGGGGCTTGAGGGCACCATAAACGTAGGACTCGGTCGATTGAGCAGGAGCTGGAGGATACAGTACTCAATCTTCATCTCCGAGTACTCGCGGGAGGGCTTGAGATCTGCCTCATCAAGATGCTGCTTCCACTGCGTTAAGTCCCGCCGCGACTCGTCAGACATGGTACAAATCTGTTGGAATGACGTCGCGAGCGCCTTGCCATCGGGCCCCCTGCCGATGTAAATCGACTCTAGAATTCGACCCGATATCTGGCGGAGGCGTATCATTAGACTGAATGGCCTGACTGTGTGTTTGTGGTAGACCGGCGCAACCAGAGCCTCGGGGCCGCTCAGGGCATCGAAGCTCAGGGGCACTGGCATCAGCGCATGTATGGCGTGATCTCGTATTGAGAGGACGCGGCCTGTGACGATAGCTGCTTGTCTGCATTGATGGTTAGTCTTGCACATGACACACGTGGGTTCGTGCCTCACCTTTCCAGGTTGTAGGCACACCACCAGGTCCTATTGCGGATTTCGAGTTCCTCGGCGCCGAATCCCCAGTCTGTGTTGTGGCGATGAAGGCCAGCTTCGATCGCTGCTGACATGATATATCTCGATAAGTGCCATAGGTCGTTGCAATCACTCCCTGCTGCCGAGTTGAGCATCCAGATGGTGAGCAGTATCACCGCCTGAATGCCAAACAAATCACGCGGATGGTCATGGAAGTCTTTAAAGAACCGAAGACTCGTTTGGAAATATGCCAGTGGCTCATTCATGTCCATCAGGCTCTGGTACTCCTTATGGTCCTGAGACTCACTGCTGGCAAGACCGAGGACGATAAAGACGACGAACTTGTCCGCTTCGCCGCACTTGCGATGGTCCTCGTAAATGGCACGGAACGTCCGCCGCAGAATTGGAAGCTGAAGTACAGGCCACCACGTGTGGACACGGGCGATATACTGCCTGAGCAGGAAACTTGCGACGGCCTGCGAAGGTAGAGAGGCCATCCGTTCCGAAGGAGGTTGCTCCAGGCTGTCTCCATATCGACCTGTCATGGCGGGGGCAACGAGATTAAGCTGCTTGAAAAAGATGCGAGCAAAAGTTGAGCCCGTTGCACTGCCGACTGCAATGAGACCTGGCATCAGCGACAGCCACGTGGAGGTCCTGGCAGGCGTCACGTCCTGGTTCACGTACCGTACTTGTCATCCGAGTGCCTATTTCGACCGCCAATGGCTAGGAACCCGACCTCCTCGGCTTCTTTCCCGACACCCACCCAAGGTGCTTGGCCGGCCCGCATAGGCGGGGGCGGGGCTGCTGGCATCGCGATCTGGGCCTCGCTGACCGTGATGGTCGTCTGGTTCGGGGCTGCATTCTGACTCGCGATGGCCAGCTTGGCTTGTAGATCACGGATCTGTACCTGCAAGCTTCCTACGGTTGCGTAAGAGTATGCAACGAACTCGGTGATGTTGCAGTCCTCGCCCTGTTTCTCGCATCGCGTGCAACGGGGCACCCGCTGATCACACTATTGGTGAGGGTTAGCTCGTGGTCACCAGGGAGGGAAAAGTCCCACGTGGCTGCGACATGCTGGGCCACCTACTTTGACCTTCCGTGCATGGCATCGGCTGCATGCTTTCGAAAATGAAGGCTGGAAGCCTAGACTCCAGTCGATATCCATGGTCGATGGAATGTGGCGACTGGCCAGCTGGGGCGGTATCTGCCGTGAGAGGGCAGATGTCTAGGCGACATAAAACGACTGGGGGCTCGGACAAGACCGAGGGGCCGCAAGAAAACGACGAGACCCGTGGGATTGCGTGCTGATGCTCGTTGTAACCCCTCATTCTCAACTGTGCGCGAGTCAGGCCAGGGTAGCGTCAAGGAAACCATTGTTTTCGCGGGTGGTGTCGGAACACCTCGGAGGAGCGATACTCTGAAGATCGTGAGATAACGAATTGAGGATTTCCGAGCAGCTTCAATAGTGTTTGCAATAAGTTCTAGGTTGACGTGCGGATGCTCCTTCTAGACCTAGTGTCAAAGGTGGCTCATCTCTGCGAACATGGTGCCCTGTCTTTTCTTGGACAAGCTCCACAGCGTCGGTCTCAACCGAGTATGACGCAAGTGGGAGAGTATCGAACGAGTTCGGCGTCGCCCGTTCTCATCATACGCCTCTTCACTTTCATTATATTCCTCGAAGCCGCAGAGTGCTTTTCCAGGAAGCACGCAATTATCACAGCTGAACAAGCGTTCCTCGGTCTGACTTGACAAAAACGATGGGTTCATCAGACGAAACAGCATCTCACAGCAGCAACGTTGCGTCAACACATGCGGTGGTGCCCAACTCGAAGAATGACTCAATCTTGGTATTAGAGAAAACATTGGAACGTAGTCGGCCCCAAAGCTGACCGTGATACAGGTCGGCATGCGTGATGGCATCACAGGGAAATTCTACTTGACTCCGAGAAAAGAGGCTGTAGTGTCGGTCTTTGACTCTAATTTTCTCGTCGGCGACGGCATCTGGGTAAGTTGTGATCTTCTTCCGACGGAACTTGCCTAACAATTTTTGAAAGGAGGGGATACGCGCAAACAGAGGGCGAATCCAGTTCGCACGCGAGCATATCAACCGCTTGTTCCAATCAGCCAAAGCCATGTTCATGGATCTCGGCCTGACTAAGGGCGAATTGCTAGAATTATTGCACCAGACCCTTGACGCCAACGAAATGGGTGAGGAACCCCATGTCCATATTCGTCTGGTTGTCAGCCGTGGCCTCAAATCAACACCATACCAAAACCCACATGTCAACATCGGTTTGCCTCTTATCGTCATCATTCCCGAGGTCAAGGCGATCGATCCGGCGTCAAAGGTTCGCGGCCTGCGCCTCGCAACGACTTGGGTGCGCCGAGGCCCACCCGACGTCAAGGATGAACAGTGGAACCACATCTCCAAAGCCACAGATGTTCAGGCCTGCATCAGCGCGAATGTTATGAACGTAGACGAGGCACTGATGCTCGACCTTCGGGGGTTCGTGAAAACATGCAACTCGGTCAACTTCTTCATCATCCGAGGAGACGAGGTCTGGGCTCCAACAAAAGACAACCAGATGCAGGGTATCACGCGTCAAAAGACGATCGACGTATGTCGTGCCAACGGGATCACGGTGCGAGAGCTGGACTTCAGCCTGACGGAGGTGTACGGAGCCGACGAGGCTTTCTGCACGGGAACTTTTCCATCTCAATTGCATGTCGTGGAAGTGGATGGGAGACAGATTGGAGACGGCAAGAGGGGTGTGATCACCGAGAGGATCCAGCAGCTTTATGCAGAGCTCGTGATTCAAGATGTGAGCAGAAGTCGGGACGAGATCACGGCGGAAGTCGAAGCAACACGGGATCTCAGGAACTTCAAATCCAAACTGTAGTTCACTAGTTTAAGAGCTGCGGAAAGGCTTCCATCGCACACAATCAATTATCTGCATTTACTTAGCTTGTTATGTTCCAACTGTTAAGACAATGTGCCACGAAGAGCACAGAGGTAGGTGGCGTGAGTTACCAATGCGATCGACTACCAAGGATGAGAACGCGACTGACTCTTCTTCCCCCTTGCGCTCTCTGGTTGGGAGCCCTGTCACGACAGGCGATTGCTGTCCACAACATAAGCTCACGCCTGGTAAAAGAACGCGAAGCGTGGTGCTGCTGAGCTGATGGCTATCTCGGTACTGTCCGAGATGACCCTCGGTGACGGCCGAAAAAGGGGGCCCATTTGTACCAGCCAACCATCACGTCATCAGCTATCTTCACTTCTTGAGCTTCAACACCATCGCGCAATTCGGCCCTCGACGAGCAATGCGATATACAAAATGTGAAGAGCTCCTGGCATCAAAGGCTGCCATGAGACCCTGCAGATTGTGAGATTCACTCTGTGCAGAAGTGTGAGGTTCAGCGCCAATCGTCCACATCTGATCCCCGCAATTGAATTTGAGCCGGCTCTGCCGCTATCAACCTTGCCTCCGAGCCAACGCCATGTCCTCCAACATTAGTGACATCATGTCATCGGAGAAGGAACCGAGAAACAACGACGCCGTGCTGGTCACGGACGACCAGGGCTCGACCGAGAGCTTGAGCAAAGCGCAAGCCAGTCGGCTTTTGCTCAAGACCGACCTGGTTGTGATGCCTTTGGCAATCCTTAGCATGACACTAGCTTTTCTCGACAAGGTATGCGACATGTATGATTCTCCCAAAACTCTGACCGGTCAAATTGACGGGGGTGCAGAACGCGCTTGGATATGCAGCCGTGTTCGGCTTGAGAGAAGACAACAACTTGGTGGGCCAGCAGTACAGTTGGCTTAGCAGCATCTTCTATTTCGGCTACCTGGCCATGGAGTTACCCAACCTGTGGCTCATGACCAAGCTTCCCATTGGGAAATATGTCGGAGTTTGCCTTGTTCTTTGGGGAGCGTCGCTTTGCTTCATGGCCTTGTGCCACAACTTTGCCGGCCTGGCGACGATCCGGTTCCTACTCGGCGTATTTGAGGCCGCCCTGCTGCCCTGCATGATGATCGTCAACTCCATGTGGTATCGGAAGGAGGAGCAGCCTCTGAGAACCGCATTCTGGTACAACACCTTTGCTGGTGTGTTTGGCGGCATTCTATCATACGCTATCGGCCAGATCGACGGGTCTCTAGCTACCTGGAAGGTGACTACACTTAGTCAAACTCTCAGAACGTTTGTTAACTGGCATTCAGTACATCTTCATCATCTACGGCGCAGTTACGGTGCTCGCTGGAGGTCTTGTATTCTTCGCCTTGCCCGATTCGCCCTCCAAAGCTTGGTTTTTCAACGAAACTGAGAAGAAACTCGCTCTTGTCCGTCTTGCCGAGAACCAGACGGGCATCGACTCTCACAAGGTGAGTCTCCCCCCAGGACTGTTGCTTCTTCCATCTTTTGGGAAGGGCTCTACATGCCGTCGAGTTGTCCTTGCCTGACGCTCCGTTACAGACCTTCAGCGCAAAGCAGATTCTAGAGACGCTGCGCGATCCAAAGTGCTATTGCATCTGGGCCTGCGCTTTCGGCTACGCCATTGCCAACGCAGGCGTCACAAACTTCAACCCCCTGATCATCGCCGGCTACGGCTTCAGCAGGACGAAGACGGTCCTTATGGCCACGCCCCAGGCGGCCGTGGCCATGGTCAGCGGCGCCATACTGACGGCCATCACCTTCTGGGTGCCCAACGTGCGCTGCATCTTCTGGATCTTCTCGTCCCTGATCGGCATGGCTGGTGCCATCATGGTGCACTCGCTTGACGCCGCGACCCAGCGGAACGCATCCTTGGCCGGTGTCTACCTCATGGGCTTCTACAATGTCCCGTGGGTGTTCATGCTGAGTTTGTCGTCCTCCAACACGGCCGGAGCTACGAAGAAAAGTTTCATGGGCATCTCAATCGCCGTTGTTTATGGTATGTAGCCCTTGATCATCACATGGAGTCGAGTCGCATCACTAATAAAGAGCGCCTCACCAGCGGTTGGCAACATTGTTGGCCCCCAGTTCTACCTGCAGCGGCAGGCTCCTCACTACCCACTCGGCATCGGCAGCATGCTGTGCGCTTTTGCACTGATAGCCTTTGCGGGAATCTCTTACTATTTTTTGTGCATCGCAGAGAACAAGAGGCGCGACTCGAAGTACGGCAAGCCACAGGATGATCTCCAGATTGGACTGGAAGCGGACAGGGCGGACAGCACCGACCTCGAGAACCACAATTTTAGGTACACCTACTGAACGGTGTGTGAAATATCGGCATGGGAACGAGGCATATCCAGAATCTGAAGTTCAACCAAAATCTTCCTTTAATGCAAGCTTTGCTCTATGTTTCTCTGTCCATATCTGACATTTTGCGCATTGTGTACGTCTCAGTCTCCATTGCAAGAGGCTCATGGTAAAAGAAGACCAACGACAAAAGAGAACACAATGTTCCCCAACTGGTGACTCGTCCTTTACTTACACGTACCAGCTCCGTATCGCACAGCGGCACGAATGACACAGCTTGCAAATGACGAGCGGCTCTGCTAAATACCCCCCCCCCTTCTCCCTTACGCTGTTCACATTGACTCAAATCGTAATCGGCGCAGATCACGCGCGGAAGAGCTTCCAAAACCCCTTGCCTTGGAACGGATTGGCACCAGCACCGGGGGCGGGTGCAGGTGGAGGTGCGAAGGCCGTCAAGTTGAAAACGTCAGGAGGTGGCATACCTCCACAGGTAGAAAGGGCCTGAAGCAAGGCACGTCAGCACATCAATGTATCGAAAGCCCGTCAGCACCACAGAGTACTGCTTGCTAATCATTCATGAGGGGAAACAGTAATACTCACGTCGGCCATGTTCTGCATATTCTGCTTGATCCCGCCCGCAAAGTCAGCCTTCAGCGTGTCAACCGTCTTGAGATCCGCCGCCTTATTAGCGGGGTCCCCACTCAGGCTGTTGGACAGGTTGAGCTCCTCGGTCTGGGCGTTGGCGACGATGGCGAGGCCCGCGATAGCCTTGTTGCCGGCGGGCGCGATGGCCTGATTCATTTTGCGCATCTCGATACCGCTGTTGACGAAGCCGAGGAGGTCCGTCTTGGCGGCCTGGAAGGCGGCTGCGTCGTTGGCGTTCAGGGCATTGCTGACTGCGGTCAGGGACAACACCTCGTTGTTCTGGTCGTCAATGTTGAGCTTGATGCCCTCAGCTAAGAGGACGGCCCGCTGGCACGCAGCGGAGCTTGCAGCTCCGAAACCTGCAGCTCCGAAGCCTGGGGCTCCGGGACCGGGGGCTGCGGAGCCAGAGGCTTGCTTCGAGGCGAGAGAAGCCGTGGCCGAGAAGACGGCGAGGAGAACCGGGATGGAAAGGCGAGCCATATTGGAAAGCGAAGAAGCTTGTGTGTGATGTTCGCTAGGGAAAATCGACGTGGAAAGGACTGATTTCGTTAAGGGCCGAGAAAAGAAGCGTCGACCGGCGACAGACGATATGTGTGAATAGGTAAGTTTAGAATGAGAGACGGTTCAAAGTAGAGGTAGGTGAACCATGAAGGACCAGGAGCCTCTTTAAACAATTTCAGGAGATCAGACGGCGCATCTGGTTATATTGCAACTCGACGGAAAACAAATAGCTTCCGGCATCTGAGAGCCTAATTTCACCAAGTAGTTGTTCTCGACTGTGCCGGCCAGAAGCCACATGTTACCCTACCAGACACCTGTTTTGAACGCTAAAAGACTTCACAACCAGATTGTCCGCCTGCCGGGTGGAACGCAGGGGACATCGAATGAAACGAGCGACTGATCAATGCTCGCCGAGTATCTTTTTGGTGGGTGTGGGGGATCTGAGGCTAGGTAGGAGCATCAGGGAGGGCACTTCATCCCTATATCCTTGGAATAATATGCAAGGCACCGAGACTTCCACCTACCGGATGTGAATTGTCAAGCGTTGGAACTTCGTTCTGGTTGTGACCCGAGCGCCCAGGAGCTTCATCTCAAACTGATGCGATTCGTGAAGTAGAGTTAGCTCTGCCGCTCGTGCCGGGCACGCGTTGAAAAACGTCAGGCATAAGTTCGGATGACCCGATCCCGCCCCCATCACAATTCCCGCATCAGACCTCCTGCTCAATTGAGTTTCGCGACGCGAGCCATCCGTGCCATGTAGGTGCCGGCACTTCGGCACCTGTCATGAAAGACGACCACCATGACGCGGCCCGAGTCTCCTGAAGTCGCGTATTCATCGTGTCCAGAAATCTAGCAAAAAGTATCTCCTGCTTCTTGCCGTCAAAGCCGTCCGAAGTCGTAGATGATAGTAAATTGCGAAACGAGCTCGCATGCTGACGAAGCAATTCAGACATATGTTGCGATAATTCTCTTGCCAGCAGCCTCGCCGCTCAAGTAAGCACCAGCAACTGTGCCACACTCATCAAAGGGCGCGGCGTGCTCTCCGCTGAACCAGAGCCGGCGATCCGGGCAACCTCTCCTGAAGGTCAACACGTCCTCATCAGCTTCGTGCACTCCGACCTGAAAGTTGCAGTAGCTCGCATTGCCGTTGAGGTCATCTTTTAGCCATTTTGTGGCGAGTATTGCCTTGGGCCTGCAGTTGTCATTATCGGGGCTGTAGTTGGGAAGACGAGAATAGTATGGACGGAAAAAGTCATCCAGGAAGGAGTGCTCATCCTCTCGCGACATGTCAGATATGGCGTTGACGATGTGCCTGGCACAGTCGCCGTAAGTGTAGAAGAGAATCGTCGGGTGGTTGTTTGGCGATCTGAAGGTGGAAAGGTCCCAGATCTCCTGAGGCCAGCGTTGGGGGTTCGAGCCTTCGGCGTATTCCGGTGTCAGCCAGTTGGTGTAGCAAGGGAAATCGTCCAACTCGGGCTGTGCATTCCAGAAAACAGATGGAAAAGTGATGAAG